ATTATATTATATTATATTATATTACATATATATATATATATATATATATTTATATATTTATATACATATACATATTACAATATATCTATATTTAAATAATATTTTAGAAATAAATATAATTTTATTAATTAAATAAAAAAATTTATTTATATTTGATTTATTTTAATGTAAAATATTTTATATTATATTATATTAATATTTTGAATTTTTTTAATTTATTTTAAAATAATCTTTTTTCTTTAATTTAAAAGTTTCTTTAAATTTTATAATTTTTTAAATTAATATTTTGAAATTATAATTATAATTATTTTTATAATTCTTTAAAACAATTTTTATATAATTATTTTTTATACTAAGATAGATACTACTAATATATATACATATATAATTTACTTATAATATTTATAATATTAATATAATTGAATTATTAGCTGTGTAAAAATATATTTTTTTACAAAAAAAATTGAAATATTTAAAAGTAGCGCCTTATTTTTTATTTGTACACTTATCTTACATTATATCAAATAATTCATTAAAAAATGTATAAAATATGAGTCATAAAAATAATATTAAGTATCTATAACTGTGCCTTTTTAAGACCATATTTAATTATTTTATTATTTTTTATTTGTATATTTGTTTTAGTTTTTATACAAAATATATTATTTTATTTAAAATTATAAATAATTAAAATTATAAATAAAAATAAATACTTCGACATTATACATATATTCATCTATTAGAATCATGCATTTGATCTTATGAACTGTCACTGACAGTGACTCAGTTTTTAAATAACCTCTATTATATATTTGGTACATAAAGGCATGAAAAATTATTTGAATTTTTTCTTTATTTGTAACAAATTCAATTAAAGAAATGTTTTCGAGTGGACCAAATTATACCAAATTAAAAACACATTTACGTCTAACAATAAATCGGCTTAAATTACTTGAAAAAAAAAAAACTGAACTTGCCCAGAAAGCACGAAAAGAAATAGCTGATTATCTTGCTGCAGGAAAAATTGAAAGAGCAAAAATACGCGTTGAACATATTATTAGAGAAGACTATATGGTTGAAGCAATGGAATTACTCGAAATGTATTGTGATCTCTTACTTGCACGTTTTGGACTTATTCAACAAATGAAGTAAATGATAAATAAATTTTCTAAATTTTTAATCATCTTAAAAAAATATAAATGATAATTGATATTTTTTAAATTTTTATATTTTAAAATATAAAAAATTATTAATTTAATTATAATTGCTATTAATATTCATTGTTATAGAAATTTAGATGAAGGTTTAGCAGAGGCTATTTCTACGATAATTTGGGCTGCTCCTAGAATACAAACTGATGTTCAAGAAATTAAAGTAATTGCTGATATCTTCACATCAAAATATGGAAAACAATATACAGAAGCATGTAGAGAAGAGGCAGTACAAACTATTTCTGAAAAATTGAAACATAAAATGAGTGTGCAGTCACCATCTAAGCTTCTTGTAGAAAAATATCTTATAGAAATTGCAAAAAATTATAATGTTGAATATGAACCAGATCCACAGGTAGAAATTATAAAATAAAAACATTATCAATATCACTTTTGTTGTGACATTATAGGTAATGATAGAAGGTCAAGATGCTTTATTAATAGATGTTGAAAATAATACAGAAAGGAACAATTTAGACATAGCTTCTGGAGGCATAACTGTACCACAACCAGTTGGATTTATTGGTTTTCCTCAACCTCCTTTATTACCAAATCCTGCATTTAATCTAATTGTATGTAATATTTTTTTGATTTTTTATTCATATTTTTATTTAAATTATTTCTTTTAGAATTCAGAAAAAGAAACTATAGGATTTGTAACTCCACCAACAACTTTAGAAAATAAAGATCAAAATGTTCCTTATAATCTAAGTAATGTTTTATACAACATTCCTTTAGATAATTCTAATGGAAACAAACCTGTGAGTGATAATATGAATTCTATGAATGAAATTATTTCATAATTAATAAAATCTTTATATTTTAAGGAAAATAATCAACCTCCACCATATGAATCATTTCCACCTGATTTAAATAAACAGGTAATTTAATAAAAGTAATTATCAAATAAAATACTGATAAATAAAATAAAATAAATTAAAAAAAATAATCAATAGTATATTATTTTAAGTTTATTAATATTTTATTTTTATTTTCTATTTTCTTTTTCATTTTATAGATTTATTTTATTGTTGTTTATTATTATTACTTTTTAATATATTAGAGATATTTGTTATGTGTTTATATAATACTTTTATTTATGATTTCCTATTACAGTCTGACCAGAAACCAAAACCTCAACCGCGATCGAAAATGCCGATGAATGATTTTCAGCTTCCAGATTTACCAACTGTGCCATCGGAGAATAATTTACCATCAAATAATCCATCTACTAGCGAAGATATTGATTTTGATGATTTAATGAAACGCTTTGAAGACTTGAAGAAAAGAAAGTAATTTCTTAGTTGTTTTAAGATGCATTACAAATATATATATTATAATACAACAACAATATAATGTAGGTATAAATAAAAATAATTATTATTGTTTTAATGCTATATTAATGTATAATATTAAAATTTAAGTAATTTTCTATTAATTAATACATTTGCAATATTTTTTCAAAATGTTACTAATAGGTTCAATTTCATCAATATTAAAAAAACTTAATAATCAATATATAATCCAATTGATAAGAAAAAATGATTAATTGAAAGAATTGGATAATAAAAGATTAATTGAATAATTAAGATAATAATCAATAAATTGAGAGATTTTATTTCTTAGATCAACAAATATAAATATATCTGTATAAATTGATATAAATATAAAACTATAAATAATCTTTAAAATATAATATATGTATTATCCAATATATATTTAAAAAATTAATATCATGAATGTATATTAAGTTGAATTTTTAGGAAAAATATGAATAAAAGTATGATAACAATATAGTTCCATTATATTTCAAAAATTATTTTCACAAAAATTTACTAGATAATCATTTTTTATTTTGCGATGAGAAGATTGGATAAATAAGGAATGAATATATTCACAAAAATATAGATGTTTTATTTTAACAATCTATATCTATGTTAAATTATTATATTAATATTATAAAAAAAATAAAAGGAAATTTTTTTTCTTTCAATAAAATAAAATAAATGTGAACAATTTAATTAATTTAATAATAAAATAATATTAAAAAGTAAATAAAATCACAATTATTTTTCTCATCAAATATTTGCACATTAAAAATTGCAAATTTTGCATTTTAAAAATTTATAATAAAATAACTAAATTTTTTTATAAAAATTAAATATTGATATTTAATATTTTTTTATAAGAAAAAATATTTCTCTCCCTCTAGAAATTTAAAAAATTATAAAAGTTTCATAATATATAATACTTATATAAGTATGTGTTTTTATTTTTTTTTTTTGTTATACAATTATCCAAAATCATTTTAAAAGGATGAAATCAACTCTTAAAAATTTAGTGTTTATATTATAATTTGTAAACTATAAGAAATACAAAAAATATTTTCAAATAAAAATTATTTTTTTTCACAAGGTCTATCATCTAATAAAATATTTATTAATTATTTATACAATTAAAAAAAAGTTATATAAACAAAAAAATTAATTTTTTTTAATTTATTTTTTAAAATTTTTAATCAACAACATAAATAAAAAAAATAAATAAAAAAACAATGAATATTTTTTGTTTTTAGATAGAAATAAGATAGAATAAAAAAGAAACTTATAATTTTATAATATTTTTAGTTTGAATGTACTTATCAAAGTTCTTTACTTTTTACGTATCAAATGATAAAAGAATTCAATAAAGATAAATATGAATAACGATGAAAGCATAGACATAACTTATGCTTTATAATATTATGAATTACTCTTCATAGTAAAATTCTTCGAAAAAATGTTGTAAACATAAAAAACTTATTTCACCATGCACATTGCATGCATATAATAACATGATTGGCATATATGAAACAACGAGATGGCCATATGAAATTTTATTGCAAAAAAGTGAATTCTATGGAATTTTCAAAATTATTTAGTTTCTTATCAATATATCTATTCTTTATTATGTCTAAGCAAATACATCGTAATACTTTAATGATAAAAATTGAATAAAAAGACTATATATATAAAAAGATTATATATATATATGAATAAAAAGACTATATAATTTAATATTATTCTATTCATATAGATATTAATTTATATGAATGTTGTAATTATATAATATAACAAAATCGGAAAATTTCCGTACAAAATTTTTTCATATGTGGAAAAATTCGGTTGTATTATATACATCAAGCGGTTATATTTTTCCTATGTTCAAATATAATAAAAACCTATTTGTGTTTTAAATCTATAGCATTATTTAAGCTATCGTTGAATGGGTTTAAAAAACTACAAAAACCAAAAAATAAAATATATTGTTAATAAAAATTATTTTAAAATCAATACTTAATTTTTATTAAAAAATTATTATTAATTACTATCTATTAAAATTATTTATTTTAATTATCTTATTGTAAATTTTTAAAATGTCCAAATATTTTTGTAAGAAAAAAAAATTGTAATTTTATTTTATTTTTAATATTACTTTATTATATCAAATTCCCTAAATATATTTCTCATATTTATAAAATACAATAAAATACAAAAAAATACAATAAAATACAATAAAATACTATCGAAAAAAACAAGTTTGAATTTATTTTTTCTATAATTAATAAAAAGTTGTTAAAGTTAAGTATATATAATATTAGCGCCGGAATATTTTTGAGTAATTATATATTCGTGAAACTTTAAAAAATTTATTCTAGAATCTAAAACAAATACAAAGATTTGTATAATGTATATGTGTGTATGTAAATTAATACTAAATATTTATGAAAAAGAATTCCATAGAGAAATATAAAATACTAAAAAAATATTTCACAATGAATTTATTATCCTAATGTTTTACAATGTTATGAAATATAATGTTTTACAAAATACAAAGGAAAGATTATAAATGATATATATTTTTAATATCATTCAACAATGTGATAAAAATTATTTCTATTTAGTTGAATAATAACATTCCAATTAAATTTACATGAAGCAGATTTTGTTGAATGTTTGTTGTAAGTTTTATGAATAGAATGACTACAAATTTGATGTAAGATGTGTTATATTCAGATGTAATTATAGCAATATTAGCAAATTAGTTGACAAAATATAACAAAATTTTTAATAAAATTTATTAAAGCAAATAACTTATAATATAATCTTTCATCAAATTGAAAATAGATTATAAAAACATTCTGATGGTAGAAAAATAATAAAAATCAAACAGAGTCTTGCAATTTCAATTTAAATTTTAAATAAAAACATGTTAACATCTATGTTATCTTTTCTGAAACACAAAAATATTTAGAAAAAATACTAAAAATATTATAAATATTAATAAAAATCATTTTATGAATTCAATTTTTTTTTTATTAAAATGAATATTAATATTATCAATAATATATTTTATAGATAAAATAGATTTTAAATGTTAATTATGTAGTTTCATTAACTGAAAAAGAATCTGCTTCTATTTTTTCTACCAGGAGACTATACTATGCAAATTCTGCTGTGTATTTTCAATATGTGTATATGTATTATAATATATGTATGAGAATAGATTATATAAATGAAATCTTCAATTTTTGTTGTTTATTTTTTGATTCTATTAATATCAATGTTTTGTCTGCAAAATCTAAGCCTAATGTTGAAACAGATGACTATTAAGAATTTATAAATAAATTTTGTCAAATATGTTATTAATTTGCAATTTGTACATAAATGATTTATATGAAATAATTTTATATTATATTTTATTTTTTATAATGTTATAATATAATATTATATTTTTTATAATGTTATGTTGAAATAATTTTATATTATTATATTTTTTATAATGTTATGTTGTAATATTATGATTTAAAACAGAGATGAATTCACGAGCAATTGTGTTTCATGTCTCTTTGTCTATTTGAAAACCTGTTTGAAAAAAAAAGTTATAAGGATGGTTCTTTCCTCACAAAATTCCTTTAAAGAATTCCTTCGCGAGTCACATGATTCTACTATTAGATAATATTTTTTTCAATCACTTACAATTATATTTCATATATTTTGTTTTATTATTTAATAATTGTTTTGTTCATAATAGAAAAATCGATTAATTAAAAGTGGAAATATAGCTCCTCGAAAAAAAAACAGTAGGATTGACTAATCGAAGTTATCCAAGTCTGACTTTTGATGGAAAAGAAGTTCAACAGATGTGATTTAAAAATTAGAAATTCCTTGTAAGAAAAATGTAAAATATAATATATATAATAATAAAATAAAATATTATAATAAATAAAAGTATTATATAAGTAAAATAATATTTTAATTAATTAAATCTAATATCAAATATTTTTATAGATTTATAAAAATATTAAGATATTTTCAAGTATTTTTTCAAATTTTACTATTTTGCATATTTAATTATATAAATATTTAGACATTTTTAAAATAATTCTATAAAAATATATTTTTTAATTTTTCCAATCCTCGCATTTCTGAAATAAAATATATGATTTATAAAATTATTTTTCATGAAATTAAAAATATATTATAAATTACTACAAATTTTAATAAATTAGAACTTACTTGCTGTCCTTTTTCATTTAAACATTTTAATAAATTTTGTGAGAATTCACATTTTTCTCGTTTATTTGATTCAAAATAACGAAAACATTCTATAATTGATTCTTCAACAAAATCCTTCAATTCTGGATTTTGAATATTTTGACTTATTAATGAAATTACTGAATTTCTTTCTGGAAATCCTTTTTGATCAACCTATTATTTAGCATGCAGTTATAATTAATAAAATAAGTTTTTTTATTTTAAGTTCAATGGTACTTACGACATTTAATTCATTAAAAAAACATTGTATGATACACTGTAACAAATTAGATGAAATATTAATATAACGTAATTAATCTTACATATAAAAATTATAAAATATTTAATTTGAATAATTTATAATTCTTACATTTTGTTTTTGATTAGTATCATTATTGAAATACATATCTTTGTTATTCATATCTTTATTATTAAAATCACTTTTTCTATTACGCAAATTTTTAGAATTCCAGAAATCTCGATTATTCATTTCATGAATACGTTTTATATTTTGTAAATATCTTGTATTTCCTTTAATTAATTGATTAGATGAATAAATATTTGTACCGCTATTTTTGTCAGAATTTCTATGTCAACAAATAAATTAAAATGTATGAATATTACAATAGAAATTAAATATATATAATTAATAAATGTATAGTGATATAATATAATATAATATAATATATTATAATTATATAACAATTTATATTAAGTCATCTATTCTAAATATAATAAAAGAAATATTTTAAAAAAAATTAATTTTATATACATTAATTTTCTAAAAATACAAATGTTTAAAATAAAATGATTTTTTATATTAATATTTTTATATTAATTTGTTTTATAAGTCAAATTATATGTATATATTTTTTTATCATGTATGTGTGATTTATATTTTTATTCAAACAAAGATTAATTTTTGTAAATTTAAATTATTAAATCACATACCTATATTTTTGATTATTTGTAAATTCATTATATGAATGATTATTGTTATTTTTATGAAAAATATTTTTATCGTATACATTTTCTTCAAAAACAAAATCACTTCCTATATCACTGTTTTCTGTAGATATAGAATCATTCGAATTAACCGTATTTAAATCGATATGGCGATTTCTACAAGTTTTTAACACTTTTTGAAATTGTATGTCCATTTCTTGATTTCCAGAATGACATCTTAAAGACTGAGAGAAATTTTTGAATCAATTTCTTAATGTAAATGTTATTACAATTAGTATAATTTTATACAAATAGAAATTTGTATAAATTATAAGTTTATATAAATATAGAAAGAAGAATGAGCAAGTGATGTTTTGATAGAAACGATTTAGAAATTTTAATTACATATGCATGTAATTTTAAGAATTAATCTTGATAGATATTTCGATCGCATAAATATTTTTTTTATTTAAATTCTTAATTTTATTTAAAATCTATATTTTTTTTTTACAATTTCAGAAAATATCACATGTTACCATATATTTTATATTTCAATCACTGAAGAAACTACAAGATTATTATTCGAGAGATAATTTTAAATATTTCAATAAAATTGTAGAATTGCATATTTTAATTTTTATAAATTTTTATTAATCTGTATAATATATCAAAATCGCAGCGAAACTAACATCATCAAATATTATTATTATCATTGAACTTTTAATTTTAATTAATACCAAATTATTTTATTTCTATATTTAAAACAAAAATATTTTTATAACATTCCTTGATGTTTTTCCTTGATGGTTTCCTAGCAAAAAAATCTGCCTTATCGTATGGTATAAATACATTATTTTCTAAATTCTTTTATTTTATTTCAAATAAATTAAAACAATATTAATAAAAACAGATGCATTTCAACTTTTAACTTTAATCATTATTTACATATATTTAAATATTTATAATCTAATAACTTTAATTTATTTGGGAAAGTAGAATCATATAATCATTTGGTATCAAGAATAACTGAATAATTATTATTCAAAATTTGTAGGTTCTACAAAAAATATTTCAAAATTGAAATTTTTTTCAAAACTTATGAATTTTAGCGAAAAAATGATTAGCAAATTTATATTCAATATATAAAAATCTATAAGAATCTATATATATCTATTAAAAATTACATATTGAATAATATTATCTAATTGAATATCAATAATATCAACTTATTTTTTTTATTTTATTTATTTTAAATCGTTCTTTCTATTTTTTTATATTAATTAAATCTAGGTATAACATGTTATATAGTTAAAAAAAATGTTTTTACGTCACAAATTATCATATGTACATATGTAATATTGATATACGATTTTTTTTAATGAACTTTGAATAAGAAATAAGCTGTAAAAAAACAAAAAGTGGAATTTGAATTATATAACTCGTATCATTCTACTTATATATTATATATATATATTTATATTATATTATTATATTATAATTATATATATATATATATATAATTGAAGATTTCAAGCAACATTTTGCAATCTTTGCAAAAACTTTTCGTTGTGACATTGTTAACAAGTTATTAACAAAAAATATTGGCTAATAAATAGATTGTAGATGTAATAGATAGACTAGTCACGATGAGAGTTGGTTAATATGCATCAGTCTAAATACGAACAAGTTGAAATAACACGAATAAAAAAAGTAAATTGAATATAACAAATATTTTTTTATTAACAAAAAATTATATCGAATTATATTTTATTTAAAAATAATGAAATTAATTATTATTTAATAATTAATGAAAGTTAATGAAAATAATAATTATATCAAATTTTGATATAAAAAGAATATAAAACTTTTATAACAAATAAACGATAAATAATATATATTTAGAATAAAAAAATAAACGATACGTTACAATTTATAAATTAAAAAATAAACTAAAAAATAATTGATCAAATAAATGTCATTAAGTGACTGATTTACAGATGTCATTGGTTATGATATGCCTTATGGACCATCCAAATTTATCATCAGAAAGAGAATATGTCCCGTTAACATTAGTTTTTTGTATTTTGATATAAATTTGGGATTTGTTAAAGATATCGTCGTGTTTTGAGCACTAGACATAATAACATATTGTATCGTATTTTTAATATAATTCATATTATTAGAAAGAAAAAACATCATCTTATCTTTTTATTTATTCAATTTCGGCCAGAGATTTCAATCCACGAATACACTCATCATCTATTCAGTTTCATGATTGCAAAGATTTAAATAAAAGTGTTTACTACTAAAATATAATAATGCGGAAAAAAATTAAATTTAATTAGATTACAAGTGATTACAATTTATCAGTGTTGATAACTGTGCAGTAAAGTGAATAATAAATATATTAATTTGAAGATATATTATCTTTATGTATTATTTTTTGATAATATTTTATCTATACTCAGTTTAGTATTTAGCGCAAATTTATCAAGAATTAATTTAATAAGAAAGAATATCAGAATATGGTTAATGTTAAAGAAAAATATCAAAGTTTGTTTTTTTTGAAAGTTTGTTTTGAGTTGAATTTTTGGTGAATAATTGATTTCATCTATTTAATTAATTTATTTTTTAATTTAATATAATTTGTAATAAATCGTTTATTTTTTTTATTTCAAATATATATTATTTATCATTTATTTATTAAAAAAATTTTATATTATTTTTATTATAATTTGGCATTATTCATTTTGAATGATGAATAAACATATCTTTACTTATCGATACTTCTTTTATTTATTTGTACTCGATTGACGGTACATCATACTACCGTCACAGTTTCGTATGCACTCTATGATTGACATATTTTTTTATTAATAACTCATTAATGTTACAATAAATGTTTCTGTAAGAAAAATATTGCTTGAAATTACTTTAGGAATTTTCAGTTCACAACTAGTGTTCCCATATTTTGGGATATCTTATATATTTATTATCTATCTATAAAGGATTATCAGAGAAAATCATCATAAATTGCAAAAATATAAATTAAATGATATATAATTATATATACATAAAACATATAACTGGAATAGTTTTTTTTTTCTTATTTCATCAAAGATTAAGAAAAATTGTATGGTTTGGTAAGATTTATGTACTCACTTGTACTTATATACTCAAGATGTAAGTATTCACTTTTTTTAATATGCAATGATGCATTAGAAAAATGTAACTATATTTTTTATATTTTTATGAAATCATGCTTTTTCACATAAATTAGTTGCTTTTTAACATTTATTTTATAATATTTTATAATTTTTAAAAAGAATTAATATAAAATACCCAAAAAATTTAGAATTTAAAACATAATTAAAATTTTGTTGAGAAATACATAATTATTCATGAAGATTCTCTTTAAAATTTAAAAAAATGAATTAAAATGATTTATTCTAATGTAATACAATCAACGATATGATAAAAAATATTAAAAAACAATACGAAGAATTTATAACGGTAAGATATTTAAATATCTCCTTATTACAATTGCATTATTTTGATATATCATATATAATAAAAAAAAGAATATCTTCTACTAAAAAATATTCCTTATCAACTCAATTTTTCCGTTTAAGATTTTTCTTTATCTTAAACGAAACCGAAATTACAGCTCATTCTACTTGCATAGTTTATCCTATATATATAAATATCAGTATATTATTTAATGTGAACTTGCTTATTAGATCCCTCATTTAATTCATTGATACTAAAAGTTCTTTACAAATAATTCGAAATTAAATTAAAACAAATTGATTATGTCTAAAAAAAGTTAGAATATTAAAATCAAAATAATATTTCAAGTTTATTAAGATTGATAGGAAAAAAACTAATCGATAAATTGATCCATATAAATATAATATCACAATTATATATAATCACAAATTATATATCATAAAATCGTATATATATAAATCTACCTCTGAAATTCAATTATTAAAATTATGAATGTATATTAATTAAAATATCTATATAAAAAAGAATATATTGAATGAACTCTTACTCATTCTATACTAAATATATTGCAATTTTTTTAATATTTTTTTTTAATATTTAATAAAAAATATAAATGAATGTTTCAAAAATAATAAATATACATAAAATATTTGTATATATTCTAAAATAAGTAAAACTTTATTTCATAATTTTATACATATAACAATTACTTATTTAATAGTTTTATATATATACATATTACATAAAATAAATTTTTAATTTATGAAAATAACTTACTATCCCTTCACGAAGAAAAAGTAAAACAATGCAGTAGAAAATAAAGAAAACAAAATTCTCCATAATTTGTCTATATATACAGTCAATATTCTATTAAATTATCTTTCAATTATTGAAAACATATTCGTTTAAAATCAAATATATATACGAAATTAACAGGAAAAGGTGCTGACAATAATTGCATGTTATGTTATTCTACTATTAAAAAGAATTTGAATTCAATGTGCGTTTCGGTGACATGACATATCCTGAATTATTTCCTTCCACTCAAATATAAATTGTATAATTTAATTGAAAAGAATATCATAATTTTCATTGTTTCCTTAAAATTATTTTTGTAGTCAGAAAAATGTATTTTTGAATAATTATACATTACATTTATGATAAAAATATTTATTTATTTTTTACGTATTTAAAAAATTAAATAGTATTTGAAAGTATAAAAATTAAAAAAATTTTAAAAATAATAAAAGGAATAATATTTAGAATTTAATTTATTTAAATTTATTGCAAAGCAAATATAGAGTTTAAAAGTTCATATAATTATATTCATATAATAACTAATTTCATTAGAAACATTGTAAAAATTTGATTAAAATAAAATTTCAAATAAAATATATATTTTTTTATTTAAAAATCTACAGAATAATTTAAATAATCCAAGAAAAAAATTCAATATAGTATTACTAATAATTTTTTATAAATATCTATTATAATAAATATTAATTATAAATATAACTTATAAATATCTCTAATTAAAAAGACAAAGTAATGATTATATATACGAAAAAGTTGTTTATATTGATTAATATTGAAGTTGAATATGGAGAATAAATATTAAAATAATCTAATAAAATAAAATAATATAATAATAATTGAAGTTCATATATATAATATATTTATTATTAAAAAATCATAATAAGCACAAATTGATTTTTTGTTCTTGTTTATCATTGTAATTATAATACAAACATATTTTTCGTTCAAATAATAAGAACTGGATAAATCGATTCAGATAAATAAATTTAAATAACAAAAATTTATTTAATCGGATAATAAGATTAATTTCAATAAATAAAATATAGATAGAAAAGAAAGAAAGTTCATATAATTTACTGCTATTTAAAAGATACAATAGTACAAAAATCTTAAAAGAAAGTTGGAGGGGAGAATAATAGAAGAGAAAGGAAATATGAAAGTGATCCAGAAAACAAGAAAAATTACTGATAATTTTAACAGAGAATTGTTATTCTTCTATCATCAGAAACACAAAATGCGCTTTAAGTTACTTGTGAGTAAAAATTTATTTCCATTATTTCTATAAAAATTACAAATAATCTTTAAATAATTTAATTTTAATGAAGGATTGATTTTTAAAATTTTTTTATATAAATAAATTATAAGAATATAATATAAATTTATAATATAAAAATAATAAAAAATAATAAAAAAAAATGTTATATAAAATTTTGTTATAAATAATTTATTAAAAAGTTTTATCTCTTTTTATATTTTTTTAAATGGTAAAAAAAAGTGCAAAAAAAAACTATGTAAAATAAAAAAAAAATATAAATATAGTGTATCGCATACTGAAAATTTAAAATACTCATACAAAATATGTATAAAATTTCTATTTTTATAAATATAAAAAACAAAATATAATTTTTATAACATTTTTTGCGAACTAATTAGTATTCGTTTTGTAACTATATTAAATTAAATAAAATATGTTATATATAAATATACATATATATATATAAAATAAAAGAAAAAATAAAAAAAACTTATATGATAACTTATATAACATAAAATATAATAATTTACTTTAAAATAACTTATTGTGATGATAATTCTTTTTTTTAAAACATCTCGAGAATTTTAATATGTTATTTTATATTGTTATTAATATAATAACTAAACTTATTAAATTATTATTATCATTTATAATAAATTATAAATTATCATCATATCATCAATAAATTATTTTAAAACAAAAAAAAATATATAAATAAAAATAATGTAAATACTAATCTTTTATTCTGTGATGCAAAATCCATTATTAAATGAATATTTTGTCTTATATTCAATATTTATTTATAATTTTATAAAACACTATTTTATAATATTTTTTTCTTGTTTTCATTTATAATTTATTCAGAAAAAAATGGAAAAACTTATTATTTATATAATCAATGAATAAATCAAATTATTAATTATAAATTTAAATTTTCTTTTTAGATTGTAAATTTTTTAAATTTTGAAATAAAACCTTATGATTTTCTTTAAAAATTTATGTTATTATTTTTATTATTATTTATTATATTTATTACTATAATAATTAAATTAAAATATTGTTATACTATAACAATAAAATAAATTTTGTTCAACTTATATATATTTATTGAAATTTATTATATAATAATAATTAAACTATAATTCAATAAAAAAGAATAATGAATCACAAAAACATTTAAAATTTATTTTAAAACAAACAAAAATTAATTCATAGTTCAAATTTCTGTTTTTTTAGTTAAAAATCAAACTAAAGAAACATGAATAATAAATAAAGCATGTGTAATAAATTAAAAAATTAATAATTAATATTATATTATTTAAGAAAAATAACTACGTAATATTTTTATAAAAATATATTTTTTATAAATATATTTAGCTGTTAATGAGCACAATCGTGACCAATGTTTCATGGGCTAATGATCAGCAATTTTACAAAGAAAATCAACAATTATTGTTAAATGGCGAAATAAAACCAATACTAAAAAAAAATAATGAACAATTATTACAAAAAAATAAAGATGTTAAAACTACAATAAATAAATATAACAAAACTACAATAAATAATATAAAAATAAAAAAAGAAGAAAATATTGATCCTTGGAAGTTTTTAGAACATAGAGATCGAATACAATTTCAAATAGAAGGCTATGATGGACCACAAACATATATTTTTGGATTTGATACTGGATATGGGTTTGTAATTCGAATTTTAATTGAATTTTATTCATAATACAATTAAATTAATAAAATTGATTTATTTTAATTATATGACTAATATATAATATAAATGATTATAATCATGATTATACATGATAATTATCATTTAATAAATTTCTAATTATTATTTGTAAAAATTAATTTATTTATTACAAATAATGCATTTTGTATATGTGCACATATATATGAGTGCGAATATATACATGTGTAAATATAGATAAAATTATAAAAATTTTGCTTAGATATATTTAATTAAAAATATATTATATTATATACATATTATATTATATATATATTATGTATTTCTTTCAGAAACAATAGACAATATAGATTGGAAGAAAAATATCGTAATGGTACAATAAAAGGACAATATGGTTATTATGATGCAAAAGGAAAATTAAAGAAAATTCGATATTTAGCTACACCTTTTAAAGGATATACTGAAATACATCATGAAAGTAATATACAAAAAAGAAAAAATTAAGAAATCATTCTTTTCAATTATATACTTCAAGATTTTAAATTTTATATATTTTATAATGTAAATAAAATAATTGGCTTTTAATAAAAATTAATAAAATCAATAAATAATAAGATTAAAAAGAATTGAACAATTGAAAAATTTTTCCTCTATAACTTTATGTATAATAGAAACTAAAAATTGAATATTGCATAAATTAAAAAAAACAATTTATAGATTAAACCATTTATTTAACAATAACAACAACTACACAAGAAAAACAAAAATCAAAGTTAAAGATAAATTTAAATACATTAATATCAAGAAGACTATTAAAAAAATATATTTATCCACATGTGTGTGTGTGTGTGTGTGCGCGCGCGCGCGTGCGTGTGTGTGTGTGTGTGTGTGTGTACATATATTTTTATACATGACAGTCAAATCTCGAAATTTATTATATCCGATCCAATTAAACGAAACTAGTTCCATTGAAAAAATTTTTATAACATATACTAGTTTTTCCTTGTAAAAAAATAAAATTTTTTCACCTAAAACTTAGTCATGCATACATATCCATTATATACACATGACATTACGATTAAAATACGACTTTCCGTACGAAGTACAATGTCTATCTTATGTAATACTTACATCATACAATCCAGAGATTCTCAAATGCAATTGAAATTGGAATAGTATTTTATTAGAAATATTTTATTATTAACAATATTGTCGAAAACGGTATTTATATCTGTTTTTGTACATAATTTTATTCTATATTTGTTGCTATTTTTTCATAAAAATCAATCTTCTGTCAACTTGATATGTGATTGTACCCTATATATAAGACGATATATGAATTTAATCTTAAAATTAAAACTTGTTTTATAATAAAACTAAATACTATTTCTCTTTTTTCAAATATATTAAATATGTTATAAACATTTATATAAATGTAATATAATATAATAAATGTATTAACTTCAATACTTTTTAAAATAATTGATTTTAATCTATATATTATATAATTAATTTTTCCAAATATTTAATTTAATTATAGAAATAAATAAAATAGAATATAAAAAAAAATTTATTGAAACTGATATTAATAGATTTGTTATTAATAAATTTTAAATCAATAAATTTGAAATTAAAACAATTTTCTATTATAAATAAAGAAAAAAATATCAATTTTATACAATATTATTATAGAAAAAAAAAAGAATGAAATAAATTTACATGGTAACAACAATGGTAACAAAAACAATATTTGAAACATGTGAAATAAATTCTTCAATAATATATGATGTAACATATAAATAATAAGTGATATTAAATAAAAGATCGGAATGTGATAGAATTCGAATAATTTTATATATTAACTTTTATATACACACACACATAAAACACTCATAACATATGTATATATATATCCATTTTCAAAAAAATTTGAATTTAAAGAGAATTTAAAAGAATTAAAATAAAATGTTTTGAATTTTTAACTTTTCGTTAGCAAACATTAGATCTTGCGAAATTGAAGTAATGACTATTTATTATTATTTAATATTTTATAAAAAGATAAGAGAAGAAATTATGAAAAATTTTTTCATAATTAGAATTAAACATAATTTGCAATCATATTTCAACAAAGATAATATTTTTTGATGTCACTACAATGTTATGATCGCAGCTATTTTTAGAGCAAGGATCAATATGTATGAATAATATTTTATATAAAAATTTATTTTCAACCCAAACGATAAAAATTTGTTATGAATAAAAGTGTCCGCTATGTATATATGTCTTCCGTCTTGTGAGAATTAATAAACTTGATTATTTTTAATATTTGTGCATGGTGGAATTATTTGTATAAAAAATACGTTATTTAAAACAAAGCTTTAAAATTATATTTTTAGAAATTTAATTTCTTTCGAAATATTATATATTGACTTACACTAATAAAAAATTATTTTTTTAAAACAATTATTTTTATATTTCAATAATATAATATCTTCAATTAATTTTTTTTATTAATTGAAACTTTTTTATATTATATCTTTTTTTATATATTTTATATCTATTTTATATTATCTTAAATTTTTACATAAAATAATGAATAAATTTTATTTAATTCTTAGAAATTAAATTTTTATAACATTAAAAAAAGAAAGTAAAAGAGTAAAAAAATAATTATAAAAATATTTTATAATTATTATAATAAAAATTTTTTTCTTAAAATATTTAAATATTTTTGAATTAATATATACTCCATATTGAATTTTTCATTTAAACCATTAAATTTTTGAAAAAAATTTATTGCAAAATCATATATATTCTTTTTTTTTTTGCATTTTAAATATTATCTTTTTTTCAATAATTATGATTTTTGCAATATTATAAATATAATTCTTAATATAAATCTTATATATGTAAAGAAATCTATTATTCATGATAATGTAAGAGGTATATATATGATCTACATATATATGATCTAATTGGAACAAAAAAACAAAAATCAATCCGGCACAGGAAGTATTAAATATATAATAGCAAATGAAAACTTAAAATAACTATCTTCTTTGAAAGGAGGGAAAAGAGAAAGACGTGCGCGCGCGCACACACACACACAGATATAAAACAAAAATTATATGCTATATTATATATATTAAGTAACTAACAATTCATATAGAAAAACTGAATATATATATATATATATATATATTCAACAAATTGTTTGATATTTAATCATTAAAGCTTTTACCTAATATTACATACGTATATATTCCTAAAATACTAATTAAAATTAGTTAATTAATTCAATAAGTTAATTAATTAATATAATTAAAAATTATAATATATTTTAAAAATGTTTATATGTTTATAATATATATATATATATACAGTTTTTTTTCTATATATCTTCTTGCAAGTATTACAAACATTTTTTTATATTATAATTTGTAATATAATATAAGTAGAATAAATCACACAAATAAAAATAAACTGCAAATTCTCATTTTATTTAATATATATGTTTCAATAATGTTTCGTTTTTCGCTCCCTTTCTCTCTCTCTCTCTCGCGCGCGCGCATGCTTTCTATCTTTTCGCTTAGAAAAGAAAGTAATATAATTTTTTGCTCTTTTCTTACTTCAATTTTTTATCACCAGTTCCATATGATGAACTACTACTTATTTTGGATATTCCTATCGTTTTTTGCATAAGTATATAAACTGAAAAAATTTGAAGTTAAATATTAATGTTAACAATAGGAATAATTACATAAAACTATATCATTAAAATACTTACATAAAAGAATAGTAGCAATTCCAATCGAAAAATAAATAGTCGAGCCAGATAGGAAAAGATTAATCAAATAATAAATCATTGGTACTACTACTATCACTGTCCAGCAAATTGTATTAATGAGTGAATAATATCTTCTCTTTAATGTAATTTTATCTACTTTGACTACTCCACTAGTTGCAAAAAAATCACCTGTTTTTTCGAAACTTTCTGCCATACGATCCTAAAAGAAAATAAGATAAATTTTATAACTAATTTTATTAATTTTAAATAAAATCATACTTTTTTCTCATAAAGTTTATGTAACCATTCTGCAGCAGCTTCTTGATCTTCTGGTATTTCTTTCATAGGAATTCTCTGCATATATATGTGCCCTAAAATCCGTTTTCCTAATAGCAAATTTGTTATTGTTGGTTTCACAGAATCATTTGATTTGAATTGCACTTGCATGTTATAAATTGCAGGTATTTTATCCCGCATATATGGTATGCTTGCTGTAAAACCTTTTGTTCGAGGTGTTAAATGATATTTTAATATTGGAAGACCTTCTTTTTGGGCAAACTTTTGACTGGCTTCTAATTTTTGTGGTGTAATTCGTGTTCCCTCAGGACATAAAAGTAACTATGGAGATTATTTCAAATTATTTCAAAATTTTAAATTAATTTATATAAAACCAAAAGCTCCAAAAATTATGAGTTACAAATATATTATACTAAAAATTATAATAAAAATGTCACAATTAAATAATAATTAAATTAGATATTAAATAAAAAATTTTAATTACCGATATATTATCTGGATAATTTCCAAATTCACGAATTTGAGAACGAATTATTTCTTTATCTTTCTCCCAATTTCTTTCCAAGAAAATATACTCAGAAAATTTCCATCCCCAACCTAATGTTGGAATATATTGTAATGATTTTTTTACATATGCTTTGCAATTCTGAAATATATAAAATTTCATAATAATAAAATATAATTATAACTTATCTTTTTATTTATTTTTTATACAGAATTATTTATGATTCATATATCTGTAACTAACACCAAGTATTCCTTTACGTTCACACAGAACCCAACCAATAAGCCAATCTATTTCATAACTATGATTCATTAATATATATCCATGTTCTTCTCCAAAATGTTTTTCAAGATCATTTCTATCCATATACAATATAAAATCTGATCCAGACCACCATTCTATCAAAAAAACCAACTCTGAAAATTTAATACCAATTTAATACTAAATTTAATGTAATATTAGAAAAATTCTTTTTCTTAATTTTTTTAATAATTAAGATATTTTAATAATTAAAATATCAAAAATTTAAAAAAAAATAGTTTTAAAGAATTATATATTAAATTATTATATTATATATTAAATATAATTAAGTTAAAATAAAAATCAAAAAATTTAAAATAAGAATAGAATCTCAAAATAACAAACAAAATAACAAACTTACGAGTATAAAAAGAATAGCAAAGATAATAATTAATCTTGCGATAACAATATCTGGAAAAAGGTCTGAGACCAAAGTACAAAAAACACTGGAAGAAATTGGTTATCAAACCCGTAGTAAAAAATGTTATAGCAAATATCAGATGAATCACAGTGGACTGCTTCAACACTGATAATAATCCCATCTTCCACAATTTTTTGGATATAAATTTAATTTTAAGAATAAAGCATACATACATAAATATTTCTCATAAATAT